GGTGAGGCCTCTCACGCAGCGCGACTCTGGTTCGGGCAGCATGTCTGAGAAGCGGCAAACAGAGGATCCCGGAACCCGGCGGCTCCCCAACTCCTTCAGTGGTGAGTTCTACTCTCCCGCAGGGTCTGAGGGGGGGAGGTTCACCGCCGCCCCTTCGCTGTCCCTTGAGGACCGAGCCCCAGCCTGCCGCGTGAGCTCCGTAGTCTGATGACCGGATTCCCGGCCGTTTTCCGCGGCTTTGGACCGTGCGAGCTCTCCCCCCAAAAGCTGTGGTCTTCTCGCTCTTCAAATGAGAATAACGAACCCTGTTTCGTAGGCTGAGGGCACGACTTAGGGGTGGTAGGGTGCAAAGCCGGGCCCAGGATGGACGTGCCAGTGGCCCCGGGCGTTTCCGACGCATAGAGCTGTGGCGGGGGCTCACGCTATCCGGGGTCCAGATGCCTGGCCTTGCGCCAGCGCTTATCTGGTTTCATACACGCGGACTTGGAAAAGCAGAAGGAACTGGCAGGCAGCAGGCGGGTGGAGCCGGCACCTGCCCCTCGCCCCTCGCCGTCTCTTCACGCCTTGCCCATGACCCTTCTACCTCCTAGCCTCCTCCACCCAGCCCTCGCCCACCCTGGGGGGACCCCCCTCCTCCGGAACTGGAAAGAGCCCTGGATGCCCCACGCGCGGCTCCGGACACATAGTAGGCCCATACACAGTAGGCCGTATAGAGGAAAGAAAAGGAAGTCCCTCTTTTGCTTTCATATATCTCTTTCTAGCCTCACTTTCTGCCCCGTTTCCCCTTTCTACTTTACTCCTTTTGTCTTAGGGCAACTCTTCCTTCAGGATTTTTGTCCCTCATTTGGAACTCTTAAGTTCCCCTACCCTCACTCTCACCCTGCTAGGCCCTTCCCAGTCTTGAAGGTGAGAACCGCTACCATCTGGAGCCTTTACTGGCCAACTCCCGAGAGGGGGTTCCAACCAAGAGAGGTGATGGACCTCCCAGGAGTATTGCTGCTTTAATCCTCTCAGGATCTCTTAGTGATCCAAAGGAATTAACAGTATTTCTAAAGATGGCATTTCAGACAGGAAGACACAGTGAAAGAAATTTAGGGGGCTGGGCAGGCTTTTTCAGCACCCTACAAAGAACACTTATTGAAGTCATCTGTTCTGATTGTTTGTAAGGACAACCTTGTCCATCTGTTTTATATAAGTCTGATTTATCTGGTCCAGGGATCCCTATCTTTAGTTCCTTCCCAGGAGCATCAAAAGAATGAATAAAAATCTTTATTCCTCCCTTTTCACAACTAAGCACCATAGAAAGTTACCTTCCCAAACTGGAAGTGTAAACAACCAGAAATTGATGAGAATAATAGCAAAATAAATAAGTAATTGAACGCTAACTAGGCTGGGCTCTGTGCCAGATATTTTATATACATTGTTTTATTCAGTTTTCACAACAGATGATGTGGTAGGTACTGTTCCTATCCCTACTTGGAGAAAACTGGTACTCAAAGGGGTTAAGTTACTTAAAGTCACACAGTTTGTAAGTACTGGAGCCATATTTTCAATGTGGCTCTGATCTAAAAGTTCAAGAGGAAAAAAACGGTATCACTTCCTTGGTAGTTAGTTGTGTAAGAAGACGGGTAGCATGCATTCCTCTGTACCCTGACCTCTTGGTAAGAAACTGCAGTGGGAAATGACTTTGGAGGAGTTTCTGGAATAAACATGATCTTTGTACTTAATGTTTCTTACAGTCACAGGCCACTTTTTAACTCTAAGTTGTTTTCCTTGGTTCTACACTTAACAATTTTTTATTTTACTTTTTTTAATTTTTGAGACCGAGTTAGAGTGCTGTGGTGTCATCATAACTCACAGCAACCTGAAACACCAGGGTTCAAGCAATCCTCTTGCCTCAGCCTCTGGAGTAGCTGCAGCTACCAGCATGCGCCACCAGACCCTGCTAGGTCTCATTCTTGCTCAGGATGGTCTCAAACTCCTGAGCTAAGCAGTCAACCCACCTTGGCCCCCCAACTATGCCCAGCCTACCTACCAATTTTTTAGACAGAAATCTTTTAAGAATTAATGAAAACTTATTCACCCTTAGAAAAGAATACAGGCTTGGCGCCTGTGGCTCAAGTGGCTAAGGCACCAGCCACATACACCTAAGGTGGCAGGTTTGAATCCAGCCTGGGCCCGCCAAACAACAATGACAGCTGCAACCAAAAAAATAGCCAGGCATTGTGGCCGGTGCCTGTGGTCCCAGCAACTTGAGCCCAGGAGTTGGAGATTGCTGTGAGCTATGCCACAGCACTCTACCCAGGGGGACAGCTTGAGGCTCTGTCTCAGAAAAAAAAAAAAAAAGAAAAGAATAGAAACACAGTTTTGCTTGTTCTATGTCACTTTTTTTTTCCAATGTAAACCTTCAAGACGACGCTGGTAGGAAAGCTAGATTGTAGCTAGATAAATTACTAGAATTTATTAAATACAATTCTTTAAATGCTTGTCTAAGTGCTTTACAAACATCATCTAATTGCAATTCTGTAGCAGTTTAACATCATTTGCCATTTTATAATAAAGAAACTGAGGCTAAGAGTGGTAAAAATCACACACAGCTCTTAAGATGGAGAGCCAAGTTTCAAACCCAGGCTATCTGATTTTCCAAACTATTTTCCCTATCTTAGAGATGCGTACCAAAATATAGAGTCCTGTCCAACATCACTACTACTAAAGTTGAGAGACAGTAAACAAAGAAAGCCCAGAAGAACCCAGCTTCAGCCAAGACCTCTTGGATAAGGCAGGTCCAGAGGGCTTGCTTCTGAGGGAAGCAGTGGAATTATAAAAGCCCAAACTCTGTCTCTTAGATCTTTGCTGACAATTAGTTATAAGTAAATACAGCCAAACCTAGGGCAAGGCCAGTTTTTCTTAAAGCTCCTGTATTCACTTTGTAATGAAATAATGCAGGAGGATTGCAAAGAAATGTATCATTATAATTAAGAGCCATGTCAACAGAAGGAATCCCTTTGGGAGAATGTCTGAAAATAAGAATCATGGGACTGATTTGTTTATTCAGTTGTTATAGCTGAGCAGATTGAGGATAACATTGTAACTTCTTCAGTAATTACTCTGAGTTAAACCATTTTGTAGACCAAGGCTACAAAAACTGAAATTTATATATTTTTTAAATGATTAAATAGGTTCTTGGTGCTATCAGATGGTGTGAATTTTGTAAGGTAAAAGACAAAAATCACTGATAGCCTAGTCAGCTTTGAAGAAAAAAATTTTAAATAAGTTGATAAAATGATGGAGTTCAAAATCAGTTTTTTAAAAAGGCGTGGAAGACTATTTTCTTAAACTGTGGTAACAACAAAAAAGTGAACACCAGTCCTCTGCATCTACTTTGGATCCTATACACAGAAATCTGTCATAATGTTTATTATGCGATTTTATAGTTACCAGTGTTACCCCCATCATGAGAGCTTTGGAAAACAGAGACTATGTCCTTTATTGTATCAAGAACCTAGTAGGTATATAAAAATGTTTGTTGAAAGAAGAAGGAAGCAGGCAGGGTGAATAAAGATCTCCATGGAGTAAATTACATTGTTTAATGTTTGATTTATTTTAGTGGAGCAATTTTTCTGTTTGCAGTTTACTTTATTAAGTTTGTTATAACCCATACTGTTGACTTTAGGGTCTGACCATCATATTTCTTGTTATATATTCTAATATTTGTCTGGGTTTATATTATCAGTAAAGAGACTTTAAGCTGGGCATGGTGGCTCTTGCCTGTAATCCTAGCACTCTAGAAGGCTGAGGCCACTGGATTGCCTGAGCTCACAAGTTCAGCCTGAGCTAGAGTGAGACTCCATCTCTAAAAATAGCTGGGTGCTGTGGTGGGCTCCTGTAGTCTCAGCTACTTGGTAGGCTGAGGCAAGAGAATTGCTTAAGCCCAGGAGTTTAAGGTTGCTATGAGCTATGACACCATAGCGCTCTACCAACGGCAACAAAGTGAGACTCTGTCTCAAAAAAAATGATTTTAGTTGTCAGTACAATTTATTGTACCTAATAAGTAATCTTCATTTATTTATTAAAATGTGAGAAAAGAGAAGTTAGAGGACACAGTTGGTAGAAGGAAGTGTCAGTTCTCTGTTGATACACACTGGTTTCACCGTTCTTTTTTCTTTTTCTTTTTTTAGAGACAGAGTCTCACTTTGTCGCCCTGGGTAGAGTGCTGTGGATCACAGCTCACAGCAACCTCCAGCTCTTAGGCTTACACAATTCTATGCCTCAGCCTCCCATGTAGCTGGGACTACAGGTGCCCACCACAATGCCTGGCAATTTTTTGGTTGCAGTTTGGCCAGGGCCGGGTTCGAACCTGCTTCCCTCCATATATGGGGCCAACACTTTATTCACTGAGCCACAGGGGCTGCCCTGTTTCACCATTCTTTTCAAATCTTTTTACTCTGAGACTAGTAATTTTGACCCCAAGCATTTGGCCTGACATTTCAGTAGAATTATTCTTGAAGATACAACCAATAAAATTGTGGTTCACCCCTGTCTGTGATCCTGGGGACTGAGGAGGCTGAGGCTGAGGCTGAGGCAGGGGGATTGCTGGAGTCTAGGAGTTCAAGGCTGCAGTGAGCTATGATCATGCTACTGCACTCCAGCCTAAGTGACAGAGATTCTGTCTCTTAAAAAAAAAGTCTCAGACACAAAATTATAGCAAACTTCTTGTACAGTTGGAGTTAGCATTTACAGTAGTACAGTGTAGTGACATCACAGTGTAATTTATAATTAAAATTCTAGGTTGAGGTTGCAGTATTACCACTAGAAGATTTCTATGAAAGATGTCAAAGAAAGTGTAGAACTCTAACTATCCCAAATATAGTCTGTTTCTACTCCAGAGATAGTCCCCTAGCAGGTTGTTAGTTTTGTTACTTTATCCATGGTGTGCAGCTGCCAGAAGGCCACTTAATAAAAAGTTTATTCCTATGAACTATATCAATAATGATCTGAAAGTTGTAACAATTGTATCAAACACTTCCTAAATGTCAAGCACTTTACATAAAATATTTTGTCATTTTGTCTTCATAACAGCCATGTGAAAGGAATATTGTTC